TTCGTCATTGTTATTAGAAACGTGGAATTTTTTCGTGTGAACCGCGGGCTACTAACTAGCGTACAGACAAGAATTGCAGAGAACTCGAGTATCTGAGATGCAAGATCGTTATGCCATAGTCGTGAGAAACCGACAGCTGCGAACTCGATATCCTTCGAATTGGCAAACTCCTTCTCATCCGCGACGTTTTTTTCAGCGACACGCTTGCGTTGATGCATCGCTGCTCGGACAAATGGATCAGAATGTGTAGTCTATTCTTATAGTTTTCATACACTTTGACTAATCACAGTTCAGAATTTCAAATTATCTTTCATCGTAATAAAGATTTAGCGGAAAATACGCAATCTTAAAAGAAATTTTAATAAACTGTAATTTTTGAACGAATAATCTGGCTAATTTATCTATGTAGTCCTTTTCTATTTATATTATACGTAAGCTGAAATACAAAAATTTAAACAAACTTACTTTTTCCTTGGAATCTCGCCGTGAAGTTACTGACCGTGCTCATTCTACTTGGAGCAGCGAGCTTGCGCGTCTGATCAGCACGGGTCGTTTTCACTTTGTCGCGTTCCGAACTCGTGAGGACGACATTCTTTATTTGGAGAGCTGTATTCACGTTTTCCACCGATTCCAGAACTGGTTCCTCGACTTTTACCGCTACTGTATCGATATTTATATGTTCCATTAAAAAGATATCGTACTATTAAATAAACTTCTTCAGCGATGAAAGTCCAGGACAGCGAAATTGCGATGGTAGAACGCGATTAATCGAGAATCTCGCCAAGTTTGCACTTTTCTGTCGTCATTTTCGTTGACTTACCACAGCTTGACTCGTACGGTATGTAAATGACAATCACGTTGACGTTAGAATTAGAGAATCCGCATACGACTGCATGGCCCGTTCGGCAGAGAAGTCTCTTGGCAAACAAAAGGCTTCCAGGCTCGCATACCGGTCCAGTAATTCTTACGAGCCATTACTGTCACGTTTATACATAATGAGCAGCGTGTAACTGCTCTCGTAGCATTATTCGGCGGTTTGTGAAACGTTTCTACAGCGGTCGTTGTATGCTCTATGTTGCATTCGCGATACCGTCATTTGTTCTACGCTGTTTTCGTTGTCGAGATTCTACGTTTTCAATTTCTACTCGAGGACATGCAAAGTGGGTTTCAACTTTCGTAATTTACAACGCGGTTGTTTAGCAACATTTGCAACAATTAGAAATAAATTAGGATTAAATGAGAATTATAATACCGCGGGGGCTGCCTGTACCGGAAACGCGTTATGATCAATAAGCAGAATGGAAGAATCTTTTTAACGTTACCTAGAAGCGGAATGAACAAATTGAAAACGGAATACCTAATTCGGTTATAAACAGGATGGTCCTTTCGGTAGTCCTTGTATTGCATGAATATTAATAAAAATCTACATCGTCGAGGAAATCACTTGACATAAATCTGCGTTTTATTTTCTATAGATTCAACATAAGGTAGATCGATGTACGTACCATGCTTTGCCTGCTATTTTATTTGATTTTCTTTTCTGAAAATTATCGTTGGAAATTCTTAATTCAATAAAGGACGAAAGTAAAGAGAATCTTCTTAATACATTGACCATAATTCAATCATCAAATCAAATCAATGCAATCATAATTCACAAATAAACAAATAATATTATAAAATGAGAGGTACGTTACTATTCCATAATTAATAATTTTACTACAAAGATTGGAACGTTCCGTGGTACTCAGGTTCGAACATATAGACGTCACGAGATGCTCAACGTGCTGAACGATTTTTTTTTCCATATTGGGAAGTAAAATGATGACGGAGATCGATGCGCAGAGAACTAGAGCAAAAAGAAGCGTCTCGCAACAGCCGTAAAAGAGAATTGTTGATCGGTGATAGTGACGGGAAGGCGCTTCGACTTTCAGTTATGTAAAACGTTTCACCGGAGTGCCGTCTAAACGCGGTAACAGACAGTTTCGAGATCGCATGCTCGATGCGTGACGGGTTAGAGATCTATCGAATTATCTGTAGTTGAATAATCGTACGTTCCTAACTAGACTCCTTCTGTTCTACGTTTTTTCCTGTTCATTGTACTATTCTGCAGGTTTATATTTATTAATTTCTTGTTAAATGCGTTAATGATGTACGAATATGAATAGAAAATATTGAATACGAATATATATAACTGAAAATGATACATCCAGATGCTTTTTCATCGAATAAAATATTATTGATACGAAATAACCGACTGTTATCCGTTCCTTTAATTTGATCGAATCTTTCTATTCGATTTATATATATTAAATTTATTTATTTATATATAATTCCGAGGATTAACTAATTCTATAATAATTAACTATTGTAGTATATTAATTCTATGTTAATTCTGTAATAACTAAATAAGTAAATAACTAAATAACTAAAGTAATTGTCCGTGTTGCACGTGGATATTTATTAAAAGAACGGTTTTTGATCGTCGGAGAGCCGTTGGTGCAGCGTTTAAAAATTCACCGGGTTTTACTGGACCAACAATAGGAAGAGATTAATCTTAACCAAGAGTTAAAGCGTTCTAGCTAAAGCTCTTTTGAACCGAGTAAAATGCGGGGAAATTCTATTTGTCGGCTGGTTGATATAAAAATTGACTACCGTTATAGAATCAGAAAAATGAAAAAAAATACGCGATCAAAGGATAATTCCGCAATCCTCGATGCACGGGTAAGCGCATTAGTCACTCTAGTTCAAAGGAATCGACGTTGCAATCGTATTGGTCCATTTGAATTAATGAATCGCTTCTATTCGAATTAATCGCAAGAACCGTTCCGTTGTAACTGGTCTTGTATCGAAACGATGTTAATTCTTCGCCTATCAAAGCAACTATTGTATATGACGATTGCAGTTACAAATGACAGCTGCTCATTAATCAGAATGACTGCTCTATTCATACGATCACTATCTAAGATCGTGATGCGACGTTCTACGTACGGACTCGAGTACAATTGCCTACGCAATTCGAGAATCGATTCACCCAAATGCTACCTGCGCCGGCACCCGAAGTCTCGTGTCACTATCGCGACAACGCGACGCCACCATAGACGTCGTGCAGTTCGGTTTTAATAGGCTGTTGCACAAGAGGCTGACTCGCGAAAAAAGCCGAGGATTACGCAAACGACAGACCGGGATCGACAATTTTCGTCCTTCGATGCGAACGAGTGCGCTGCTTTGAAAGGTGAAATTCAACCGCGCCAAGCCCCGCGTCGGGAAACGTTCCCTACGTTTCATGCATTTGTAACTGGCACGCGCGGAATAATTAACGGCGTCCATGCGCCACGCAACGATCCGCCCGGACAAATTGGGGCTGATTGCACTTTCACGTGAATCAACGAGTTTTACGCGTCTGCGGTCGTTGGTCGAATTTGTAGCGAGATACAGGGAGAGAAAGGATCGTTGGATATATTTATAGTTACATGAACGTCAATCGTATCGTCTCCATTGTTCAAAACACGCTGAGTCCATTTTTATTGATTTTCCAGTTTTAATATTACTTGGCAAATGGAAGGGAATATTTTAATATCCTTATAAGGAGATGGCAAGAACTGCGACATCTCGAACGAGTTGGCTGTGTGTGCATTCGATGCTTTCGGTTTATGATAAAACAATCTCAAGAGGATTTGAGTGCACGGCCTTTTGTGTTCGAGAAACTAATAAGTTCCTTTTATATCTTATTTTGTAAATTCTTTTATAATATTAATGTTCTGTTGCATCTTTTTGCGACTGGTTTATCATCGATCTGAAACATCGAATTCACATACAGCCAACTCGTTCGAGATTTCGCAGTTGTTGCCATCTTCTTGTTAGTTGGGCAGAAGATCTTTTAGATGAATCGAAAGACACAAAGTTTTTAGAAACAGCTGACGAATCTACGAAGTTTCGTAACAAACCAATAGCATATAGTTATGGCAATATTTTTAGCATCAAGATATACCATTTAGAAGCTTTATGAAGAAATTAGGAACTCATTCAATCTCGTAATCACGGAATTCTTAACTCTCGTAACTTTCCATTTTACGTTGCCGTTACTAAAAGCATATCTACCGGGACTTACCACGTGAAATGAAATTGTTATGGCGAACAACCTAAGTACGAAAGCCTTTCTGGAGCAACGAAGGCCAACTAAACCGTTCTCTTTCAAGATATTCGTCTCGATTCGCATTCTTGCGAATCTTAGGGCGGGGGGCCATTTGCACGCGATCGTCTCGCAACAACAACAGAACGAAAACAGTCGCGGATTAGAATTTTAAATGGCGTAATATCGGCGATCCGTGAAAACGGCGATTAAGGATGCGGGGAAGTTGGTAGGCAGCCTCCGGGTTGAAACTTCCTAATGGCTCTTTTACGAACTTGCCGATAGATCTCGCGAAGTTCACACTTAAAACGGCCCCAGTGGCGTCCTCCTATTTTTCGTCGGCTTCCCCGGTAATTACCTTGATGGCCTTTTGTCACGGTTCCAGAGAATTTCCACAGGACCATTAGCATCTCTCACGAGACGAATTTCACGAGATAAATAAAAGTAGACGAAGTATGCCGGTCATCGATCAGTGAAAACGATTTGTTTTAGTTAGTCGATCTCTTCGCGTTATTCATACGCTCCTTTTTTCGTTTTCATCTAAACAGACGTAGAAACTAGATAATGTATTTCATCTTCGTGACTTAAACGTATTAAGTTACGGGTATCCACTGTCTTTTACTCACGGAGAATTTTAAATTGTCCAATAATCTCGGAGTTTCTAAATCTGTTTCCAATAATATGTCTACTTATTATGTCTTTTCCCGTGATGTTCAGATGTGTTAAGTAGACCGTAAACGTTTATGTATTCGTGGGAGATCGAAAAGTGTAAAAATATACGGATATAGTAAAAGTTAGTTATAATATCTACTTCGTAGAACGAGTATATCTAAAGTTAATTTTTTTTTACTTCACATTCATAAGAATATGATGTTGCCTAGACATTTGCAGTCTAACGATAGATGTAGTTGGACGACGAGCATGTTAAGAGATTTTTGCAAGTAGAAATCGGTTCCAAGAATAGGATATTAGGATGCATAGTAACAAGCTGCCAATTGACTATACAATGACACGCAGCAAGAATGTATTCTGCTTATGAAATCTTTAAGTGTGCATACATTATGATTGGAATAGAAAGAGTGAGGTATGAGTCATTAAACAGTTGTTCGAGAGTTATGATATAATCACGGACTACTCAGAATTATTGAAAGGCGTCGTAGCAATAAGGAAATAACGTATGTTTATCTACTTATGAGAGTGCACGATTATTGTTGCCTAATCCAGTGACTCTATATAGCGTATTTGCGAAGAAAGAATTTTTTCTTGGTGAAACCGGTTCCAATCGACAAGAATTAATCAGAAATCGATAATAATCCGATGCTGAGAGGTCGAGGATAAAAGGAACGCCGACTGAACGTTTTCTCGACCGCGTGGATAGTCGGCCACAAAGGCCGGATGCCATCGGCGGTGCACGCAGGTGGGCACAGTTCTAATGCCAGAGACGCTTTGCATTGCACGTGGCATTGCAAGGCCAACCGGCCACAAGAAATCGTCGTCAGGAATATGGGGGCCTGGCGACCAGTTCGAGGCGTGGAAAACGCCGCCGCGATGCGAACAGATATGTTTCGTTTCGAGAAAAATCGGTTGCGTAATCACGCGATATCATCGCAAAATCATCGGCTACCTCCATCAACCAACCAGTTTCCATACGAGCAGTATGTAGCCGTGTTCAGTCGAGACAGATTACTGTAACGGAGCGAAACGGAGACGTTCAGTTCGCAACGATGCCACATAAAATCGTCTGATGTAAGTGGCATGATTTCACACCGGAGCACTTCACCAAAGATTATATTTCTGATAATTGAAGAGTTCGTGAGAATAACGATTAAGTAGAGTGTCGTAAAAAGTAAAATTTTTAGTATTTGGGGTTTCGTGAACTTCTTCTCGTTGTACAAAATTCAAGGTTTAATATGTTCCTTTCTTACAATATGAATGCCGCTTCATCAATATTTAAATTTTAAGAGGTACGAGATTTAATGTTCTGCGATTATTGTTTTTATCTTAAGAGAAAGTTATAATATGCACGGTCTTGATTAGTTCAGTTGTTTGAGGATCGTAGAATTTGCATTGGCAGGTTGTGATTTATGCTTTCTAGAATGAGAATTTATAATCGTTTTAAGAATATTAACTGATCATAAACTTTCCATGACTGTTCATAAATGCTCCATTATTGGAAAGATATGACATTGATCGGTCTTTTATTACATTACAGTCTAATAGCTTTCCTTACTTCTAATATATACGATATAATAAAATCTCAATGTTTATTTCAGAAGGATTACGACTGTTTTTTCTCGGAATACTTTAATTGTTTTTCTTTCGCACGAGAAACCCGAGTTGTAGCGCAACATGTGATAAAGGTTTTATTGTATGCGGGAAATGTAGTTCATAGATTAAATAGTGACCCAGATGTAATTGAACTTAATCCGGAGATACCAAGATATGAGGAAACACGATATTAAATGGTAACTGAGATTTATTGGTGAAGAGAGAATTATTGAAAATCAGAAGAAGAAAAAAGAAAAAAAAGGAACATTTAATACTGGAACTAAAACCTTTTGAAATGAGTGTCATATTTTTTGTGTTTGTAATTACTAGAAACATGCAGGTACTTTTAACGAAGTAAAATATCGACTGTTATTGAAAAATAAGCTAAAGTAAAAGAAAGTGTGTCGTTCGAATAATTATAAGCGATTTTTTGAAACCTGTAAAATTGCAGTTTCGATTTGAGATGGATTGTCACTGTTTTCCTGTTGAAACCTTCGAATATCATCAAATATCATTGTTTCTAAAATATAGTGGGTGGTATCCGCGTTCGTTATTTCTTTTCCGTCTCATCTGGTAGAAAGTCTGATAAAAAACGTGTCGTCTGTTCCGTGCTCGATTTCCTCCGTGTGTTTTCCTTCCTTGCTTTCCAGGACGCTCTCGGCAAACCATTCGGCAAAGATTTCTACGTCACCGGAAAATCGCCCGCAGGTTTTGCCGGCTGAATGAAAAACGAGGTCAGCTTCTCGAAGCATTGCCTTTTCAATCCTCAAAGAGTTCGTTGCCGAGTTTCTTAGCTTCTCGCCCCTGTATGGATGCTCGCGAGCGCGACTGCATTTTCCCCGAGTTCTTCCATTCCAGGCGATACCACTTTTTTTTCACGTTCCCCGTCATGACTTTCATGGTCATTAACATCGAAGAAGGAGAGACTCGTTGCTAAAGTTTCTGGAGAAGACCCGTCTGTTTGTTTCATTGTGTGTGCAAGCTCCTAGCCGATTGTTTTTCACCTCTGATTTTGATCTAAATCATGACGAAGCGCAAAACCACGACTTGAGTTGGAAAGACATAATTGTCCTTAATGCAACGACTATGCGGCGGTATAATTTTTTAGTATATCATCAAATTTGTTTTCATCATCTGTGTACAAAATAACTGGACATTTTGTTCTTCTTTACAGTGAAATGTAATGAAAAATACAAATGTGATTTTTTTATGGTACATCATTTAGAGTCATACGATAGTTGGATGAAATAGCATTAAATTATTGAAATTTACCAGTCGCTTTTTCCAATCCACTATTAATAATGGCAAAAAATATAAACATGTAGACATTATAATAATAGTACTACTCATATGCTTTTTCTTCAAGCTTCTTGTCGAAGTTTTGCTCGAGCTAGAATTAAACATAACTAACTGCATAACGCTAAATAACCATGTACCAAAATAAAAAGTATAATTATAGAAGAAAGACAGAAAAAATTAACAGCACCAAGAATCATTACTCCTATCATTATTCTTAAAAGTGTTACAATATACCATACCCTATACCACACGATCGTAAAGTTAATTACCGCGTTCGAAACGCGTGACGTTTGCCTTGCGTGACGCATGATCCTCACGAAAACACATCTTCGACGCAGCATCGCGGACCACTATGGAACCAGACTCGGAGCCGTGAACCAGATTCTCCGAGTCAGTTATTTACAGTTGGTCCCTAGTTCATGGATGATTTCAGATTTCCACGCATCGACGCTCACGCCTCGCGATAATTCGTCGAAGAAACCCTCGTCATGGCGATTCCGTTTGGCGGAGATTATCACGCGGTGATCTTCTCAGCGGGGAAAATAATTAGCCCGGAAATTGCTTGGCAAATTTCTCGGGGTTAGAAGATATATAATAGAATAATCGATGTTCGTGAAACCACCGTGCCGGACGTTCGCCATGATTCTCGGCTTATAAATTGCATTTCTACCCTACCAACGGGGTGAAGGAGGGGAAAAGGCCATTCTACAGGGGGGGGGGAAAAAATGTGTTGCCGCTTCCGTTCTCGTTTGCGGGCTCATCGATGAGCCGAGAGCAATTGGACTTGGTTATGGGCGATTCGCGCATTACGGATGATTTACGGTATTCACGGACCGATGCGTTGCTTGTGTGGGACGAAATTATCGAGAGATAACTAGTTGGATGTTACAGTGCGATCCTAGGACCCGTCCATTGTGACGGGACGCGGAGGCTATGCTTTATGAAAACGCGCTTAATTGCCTGTTAATCGCGATACTGCACGATGGAAATGTCAGTGATCGTGAGTAATTATAGAGCAGGGTTTAGTTTATTTTTCGCTTATTTTGTTGGAGTGCATTGGGTCAAGAAGGTTAGCAGAAGATGGAGATTTAGCGTGACAGGGAAGAGGCGTTGTCGAGGCGGCATGGAAGAATGAATAAACATTGTAAACGTTATAGGACTCGTTGCACATAGTAGTTAGCACGGCTTTCGATGGAAGTTTTCTCCTCGTTTGCATTGAACTGGGGTTTATATTGAAAGAATCTCTTTGGGTTGTCAATAGTTATCAGCGAGGTGTTAACGAATATTGTTATTGAAACGACAATGTATCGATTCGGTAACCAGGCCATTTCTTTATGCAGGTATTTTTATAGCTACGGGACTAATAATTGAAACAGTTGTATCAAATTCAGTTAGATTTCCTCACACGTGTCAATATGGTATCGTTTATTTGTGACGGAAACGGCACGTCGAGAAACGGAGAATCTTCAAGTAAAAAAATTATTACGTGCGGAAGGTATAAACGCTAGAAAGTTCCTTCTTTCATTTTTTATTAAGTAAGGAATCCACTGTCATCGTTAAAGACTTCGATCCCATCTGACCTATTCTCTCAACGTTAATTTATACCTGAGAAGCTCATAAGTCGCTTCTTCGGAACGTAGCGATTACCAAACCAAATTAACGATCGCTACGGCGTCGATTTCTCGTTGCAAATTATCCGTGCACCACAGATATGCACCATAGATATTCTATCTATTCCTATTAAACAGTCTTGCATTCACCGAAGTCTCTTAAATCGAGCGTTACACTTTTCCCCAACAGTTTACAAGCTTCTTTACGACTTTCGATCAACGTGGTGTTTAACCAAGCGAAGAGATACAGCGGGTTCAAAGGATTCACCGAGAGTGAACCAACCATTTACTTCTAGAAAATCGACGATGCTTTCAGTATCGCGAATGAATAGGTAACTTCTGAAGCAGAAGAAAAACAACCACATTTTTAACATTGGAACTATCGGAGTGGACGAAATGACCACCAGTTCGTGATCTTTCATAGAAATTTTATAAATTTACAATGTGTAATAAAATGATACTGGTGTAGCACTGGCGAACATAGCAGAATGCTGTTTCCCTCCAGAAACTCTTTACACGTAACATATGCGATGAAAAATTGGGAAATTCAGTCTGAAAGTTTGTATAAATCTTAATCGCCAGGATGAAAGCTATCGAAATAGGCAAAAGGTCCAATTTGCAACTTTTCATGAAAATCGTAGATTTGCAATAGTGTATTTTTAAAAATCTGAACGATCCTTGTATAATTTTTTTATTGCATTATGCGTTTTATTCCAAATAATTTTCATGTTTATTTCTCCAATATAAGTTTCGTACTCGTCGTTAGTTCTAGCGTTAAGACCGTCATTTGCAACGAAAAGGAAAACGTTAGCCGATGCCTGATCGTCTTCCTTTTGTTCCGTGTTCAGGACACGAAAATGTCTTGGAAGCCAAACGTCTCGTTATTCTTATCTCGGAAATGACAAACGTGGCGTAATCAAGAAACGCCAGAATGCTTGAGAAACGTCGCAGCAATTTGAATATCGTGGCGAGGCTCGTCCACGTCATCTCTTTTTATCTAGTCGCGAGGTTAGCCGTGAATAATGAGCCCCGTGATCGACGTGGATCGATGGAATATTCATTGACGCGCCGCGTTTCGTCTATTTTTAATGCGAGAATGCCACGTCGACGTATTTCAATGTTACTTGCGCCGCGAACATGGCTGACCAGTAACGGAAGCAATTCTACTGATCCCAGTAAGTGACGTAGCGAAAGTAAGACGTTTAATTTTTTTGCTAGGAATTTCTGATCGCCAGATTGCTGACTTTTCCGCACTTGTATGAAAACTTAGAGATATAAAAATGCACAGAATGTATGTAACAAACAAAAGCGTATAAAATATCCGAAGTAGAATACTTGTTAGAATTTTTGATAGATAAAACGCAGCCTCATTTGAGCTCTGTTTCTTTACTTGTGTCTATAGAAACTTCAGATTGACCTTAATCTTCGCAAATACAAGTATGACATGATTTATTCCCAACAGAAATATTACGACTGATTATTAGATAAAGAAACTGCTATATCCAAGCGATTAGAAATTCAGACAACGTGTTAATTCGTCTTCTCGAAGAACAAGTTAATTTATTACCGACTGTTATCGCTCATTATTGATTTATAATTTCTCTCTATGCGTGTGATAAATACGAGATATCTAGTCAAGAATGATGAAATACGAATCGCCAAGTATCTTGCCTCGTTATCTATCCATAATATGTCGAGCGTCTGAAACTATAAACCGTTAAGTGGCATTCGGAACACTTGAAATGCAACAAAATAATCGATAACAGCAGAAACGAGGTAACGAAGACAGCGTTGGCAAAAAACGGACGACCATGTTTACTGGATCGGAACTCGAACCTAGGGCACTTGGCACTCACCGAGCAATTTCTCCTTCCAGAATTTCCAACTCTAATTCCACCTCTAAACTGGCTGTCTACCAGCGTAACTAAAAGTTACTTAGGACAAAGAACGACGCAGAAAGCGTAATATTGTTTCTCCTAATACTGTCTTTCAACAATGGCGCCTGGTGGATAACAACGTGTAAACAGAAGTAATCTATTTAAAGAAACCGAGTAGTTATACAACCACGGCTGGTAATTGTTCATACATACATCGTATGTGCTGTTCGAGCGTGGTGTACGAGAAAATGGAAACATCGATTCCCACTCCTTTGAAACAGACAGTCGGCACGCTGTCCAAGGTGCACGCAGAACTCACAACTGTCCGTCGTCGAATCAGACCGACACAGAGAGGTGGGAGAGACTCGTAGAAGGAGCAAGAAAGACTTGCGACGAGTAAGGAGGGACCTGTGGCTTCTCGAGCAAGTCAGTCACACGGTCGAGCATGTTCCACAGGGACGTCTTGTTACCGCGATCGTGATTCCATTTGAAAATCGACACTCTCTTGCCTACGATTCTCTATCGATACCACAAAACTCTTCTGCCGTTCGTTTAAACCTTTGTGATCGAATACAAAGTGGTACCGTATGATACGGTACACAAGTGCATATATCTATATATAGTTACATATAAAAGTGGAAACGATTCTTACGTGTATCACTGGTATCGAGAAATTTGAAATCGTTTCACGAATCGCAATCACGTGGTTACCTACTGTTTTTAGTGTATATACGTGAACACGTGTATTACGTGGCTGGAAGGAACACAGCAAAGTGGTTGGTTGCGACGAGTCGCGGCGCTCGTCCATGTTTTCCCGGGTGAAAAGTGCGAAGTTTCTAAATCGATCTAGGAGAAAGGTACTTTCTAATCGTGACGAGGATGGTGTCGGTTTTCCGAGGGGACACAGGCCGTGGACAGCCGGATCGATAGCGTGCGTCGAGCCTCGTATGCAGCACCGCGAACCTACGCCCGCACGCGACCTTTAGCGCGAGCCATCAGCCGCTAAACAGCCGATTAAATTTACATGGTGACGTAACGTGCCGTCGCTGCTGTTGGTCGTCGGCGATGGCCTATGAAGAAGCCAGTTACGGGCATCACGGCGAAAAGAGGCGGCTCTGTTACGTGACGATCGCGTTCTCGCTCGACGACTCACTGTTAACGATCGTGTGACTCTTCCTTCCCACACTTCTGTTTATTTACGTTGACTTTCCGTTTCATCTGGAAATAAATAGAATCATCAACAACGTAGAGCGTGGTCCACACGCGGTGACATTAAAGTATCGATCGTTTGATCGGAGGAGATCGGGTCGCTTCGCTTCGTCGAAGCGCACTAAGCATCTCCAAGCGCGCGAAATTTAATCCATCGACACGGAATATTCGAGGAATTGGTGTTGTTATTTCTTTTTAAATAATTCGTACGAGGATCAACGAATATTAGCGACGACATGTCAGTGTTAATGAAACGTCGATGATATGGGAGCTGACGACATGAACAGAGAGATTCCGAGCAGTACCCTTGCGACTCTCAGGGGGATCCTAGTGAGTTCGTTGTCAAGGGAGAACCTGGGACCGCATGATCTACCTGTGCAGGAAAATGGAAGGCATCGACCGTACAGGAAGGTGCACTTTCGTGAAGGTACATTTAGAAGTTGCTTCCTGCGAAGCGGTAACCGATGATCATTTAAATATAAACGGAGGAAGCGGCGCGCCCATCGCTCTGTCAGAGACCCAGCAACGTTATTGCTCGATTATCGAACGCTTCGAAAGGGGATTATTGAACGACTTGTTCGAGATTAGTGGCATTCGAGATAGGAATTGTGGATATTCTGGGACCTTGGACGATCTGTATTTGGTCTAATTTAATGCAGAACGTTGGCGTGTTTTACATTAATTTAAAATAATTTACATTGGTATCGATTTGCTAGAATTTCCTCTATCTACTGGTATAGATAAAGTTCGTCGATATCGAGTTGCTTCATTAGGTTGGATAAATTAAAATAATGGGATAGTAGTAACATCGAAGGAAAGTTTAAAACGATTCTGCAACGTTTTAATCGTTTGGTAGTAAAAATGAAGAGTCGTATGCTCGATAAAGTTTTATACGTTTCTATATCGCCTAATTTACCATAGCGATTTCTACAATCTTGTTGAAGCGTGTCTGAGTGTCGAGTTGCACGAGTCGCAAATACGTGTACATTAACCCATAGCGTCATCGAGCCTTCGACTTCTGAGATTGGTCATCGTTGAATTCGTTATTCCATTCACGCTGTCGTTGTCGTCCTTATGAATCGAGGATGCCGATCGAACTTTCCAGCTTAAGAGACGCAAACGCGAGGCGTGGTTTATTGCGTAAATTCGACGTTCGAACGACGTGCTTCTGCTTCTTCTTTAAAAGTGGCTCGAATGAAATATTCACGAGATTCTCGTTACCGGATTGCTTTAGTTTCCCGATTGGAGGCAGGACAGCAAAACGAACTCGCCCTTTTTCCCCTCCAAAAAGAGACTGTTGTACACGTTAAGTCGGATTTACCTCGTTTCAACGATCTTAGCTCAGGACACGCCTACGACTGCTATTTCTTTGGCTGTCATTAATGGGATCGAATGACGTTTCTGTGATTAAATCGATTTAGATAGAACAGAACAGTATTTTAATTAATATCGAAGGCTCTCCGCTATCTTCTCGAGTTAATTACAGCAAGTTTCGTAATTTGTTCGTTCTTCTTTGCCGGTCGTTATTTTCCTTGGATGTTATT